AAAAAAAAAAAAAACAGAGTAGTAGAAAATAATAGGAAACAATTTTCCTTTGTAAGCAAAAAAAGTGGATAAATTCAGCAGAATTATTTGACAGTATTTCTTAAACCTAATGGTTTTTAGTAGTAATTCAAATATTTCTTTTTGATACAAATTAGATATGTCAGAAGGAGAGGAAGAAGAAAAAGAAAAGGCTCATCGCATAGAGATTTGTTAAACAAATTTGTTCTAGTAATTTCTTTATTGTTGACAGCATTGCGTAACATTTAAAAGATCATTAAGATAAACTGAAAAAATTTAAACCCTGCTATGGCAAACAAAAAAAAATCCATTTTTTGCACCAAGTGTGAAAGAAATTCCGTTCTGATAAAGTTGTATAATACATTCATTTTTACTTTTGCTAAATTAAACTCGTCAAAATTGTTGCTAATTCAAGCCACAAAAGTTTGTTAATATATTTTTCTAATAAAACGGTGGTAAATTACAAAATAGATATTAAATATCATCTGTGCAATAAAGCCATTGGTTTTGGAACATTAAGTCTAGCAGATTGATAATGTAAGCTTTGTTTTTTCTTTTTCCATCTTGACATTGCGGATAGGCAATCAGTAGAACAAGTCATCATTTTGCCGTTTCCGAAATAATGCTAAAATTTTAGTGAGTGCAAAAATTATTTCTAAATCAGCTTTTACTGCAATCGATTTTTTATTCTAAGTCAATTTTTCTTTGGAAAAATAGGAAGATGGCTAACGGGATCATAGACTTTAGATTCCATGTCAACACTTTAAGCGTTTCTAAAAATTTCTGAGCTACTTGGTTTAAATAACGAAAGCTATTCTGCGACAATACAATAATATGTAGATGCACCTTTAAATCACTGTTGTCTTTAATAAGCCTACGCAGGTTTGTATCACTCTTAAACACTCTTAAAATATGAGTAACGACAACTTCAGCAATGCACGGTATTTAGTCCACCGTAAAGAAGGGAAGTTTTGCATTACTAATGTTAGATGTCAACTGATGTGTAGTGTGCTGTTGTCAAGAACAGGTTTACTGTTATTTTTATTAGAAAAAAATTGATGTCTAACAAAATAAAAGACTTGAAATTATCTCTTTTTTAAATCATACATCTAAGTCAGTTTTGATAGTTAGAGTTAATTTTTCAATAATGCCTTTCCCGTTGTCACTAAAGACAAAAGTGAATTGATTAGGTTACCACTGGGTTTGAATTACGGTAAGATACTGATGCTGTTAAATACAATGAATAAATTTGGAAATAAAACTGTAAATAAACAGCCAATTTCTGCTATTTAATATAACAAAGGTCAATTTTAATTTGTATGAATTTTTTGAGGAATGTCTTCACATTTATCCTTTCCAAACAACTGAAGTATGTGCCTAACTATGAGAGCACACTATGAGTTTTTGAGTATTGTACGATTTTCTTCAAAAATTTTTGGTATAATTAACGATATTTTTCTGCTGTAGCATTGTAGATAAGTAAATGTTTGGTTACGTTAAAATAAATCTATTAGGCACCTGGAAAATTTGAGGTAAATTTGAGGAAAGTGCGTATAAAAACTTCCAGTGGAACAGGTTTCAAAATGTGCTAGTAAATTTGGTAGTACTAAATACTAAAAGCTTCTTGTTCTAATGCTTGATTAGTTAATATCCAGACTTGTTGCAAGACATTTCTTGAGGTGCCAAAATTTAGCTAGAAAAGACAAAAAATTTTTTTTAGGAACAGCTTTTGTACACGTTGTTAGCATTCTGAATCATATTTAGAACCATTCAAGAACCATTCAAATCAAAAAGATAAAAAAACTGTATGCTAAAAAACTGTCCGGGTAAAACGTTTTGAAGATAACTGTTTGTTACAGCCGTCAAACGTGCGGTCAATGAAGACCTAACACCTACTTAAATTCGGAAACTTTATTATCGGGAAAAAATATTCTTTATTTTTTTCACCAATTTTATCGATTTTGGTATAATTAAAAACACGTCGATAGATACGATACTTCCGGCACGGACAGTTATCATTTGCCACTTTGCAACGAAACTTGCTTAGTACCGTACATCAGCTACCACTCTCATTTACTCTATTTTAAAAACAGCCTCATTTCCCGTTTTGTCTCTTCATTTTTTTGCCCCTAAATTTTCTTTTCTCTTTTTCACACTGTGCTTTCCGGTCTTCAAAACTCACAATATTTTTTTTTTGCTTTTTCTCACTTGATAAAAACGATTCCTTTTTTTTTTTTTTTATACTTTAAACTTTCCTGTAGATAAAGTTGATAAAAGTAAACAATTTTTTAGTTATATAAGTTACTACAGAAATTATTACGCAACGATTTTATATTTCTTAGCGAAATTGGGGGTCACGTTGCATCAGGATTACAGATTTAACAAGAAGGCGTCTCTCAAACTGATATAAAAAGATCATGCAGTCAAAGCTTCGCAGTCGTTTTAGACCTGTCGCCTCGTGTAGCGATAGTCTGCGAGAGAATGACCTACAGAAGGGGACGGAAGTAAATCACTGTACGAAAAGTTTTTTCTACTGATAAAGTTCACTGTATGTTGATCCCTGGTCTAACCAAAAACGGTCCATCATGCATTCATTTTAACTTTCTTCCTTTATGATACAGAAACGGCATTTTTTGGCAGATTAACAGGATTTTGGCTTATAAAAATTTCACTCATTTGATATTTCAAGCTTAAGTTTCTTATTGTGTCTTTATTGAACATTCTATATTGATAACTCTTACTATGATTATATTCGTTAGGTAGGTAAGTTAGTATGCAGTGAACTTTATTATGATTTTTTTCACAAGTTAAATCTCATTTATTCTTCAGATTATAATATCTGTAGGAAAATGCAGTCAATGAAGAGTTTTTAAAAGTAAACAATCCTAAAATAAGAAACTATTGTTCTGTGCTTCAACCATTCGTTGAATTCAGAACTGTAAGCGGCGGTAACTACAACCGCTGAAAGTGAAACTATTGTAGGAATCAAGCTTCCCATAGGG